TCCAGCGGCGGCGACCGCCTGCCTGCTCGGAGACGTCTCGCCGCCCCGGCCAGGGAGCTGGCACCCAGCCCCGTAGGGCCCAAAGGCCACGCTGAGCCTTTCCTGCGGCTTTGCCGAGCCTTTTGGCCCTACGGGCTCTGCGCGCGGTGCTGCTTGGCTGCAGTCGGCAGCAGAGCGAGGAAGGGGTCCCTCGGCTCCCGTGAGCCTGCGCGCTGCCACGACCGGAGCCAGCGCCGGCACTGGCGGGGGGCTGCAGGGGGGGACCGCGGGGGCAGGACAGCTCCCTCCTCTGCATCTCCCCGCGCCGTGCATCCGCCACCCCAGGCCTCGCCGTGGCTGCACGCTCCTGCGGACTCCGCTGCTGCCCGCGGCTCCGTGCGCACGCGGCTCCCAACTCGCCCCACGGACGCTGGTGACCACCCCGTGACACCCCTGGGCACAGGCCTGGCCGCCCACGGCTCGCGCGTCGCCCGAGAGGCGGGCTCCGCGGAAGGGCAGCACGGAGCAATGGCACGGGGCGGCCGGGAGCTTGCCCTCGCTGAAGCAGGTCCTTCCCCCCCGCCAGCCCCGCCACAGCCAAACGGGTGCTCTCCTGCGCCTCCTCCAGGATCCGGCAGCGGGGCCGGGCGGGGGAAAGGCATGCGCCCGCCGGCACGGCCAGAGCCCGCACGAGCATCACCGCAGCCGGGGCGCAGGAGAGAAAGCACTTTATGTCGGGGCAGGGCCTGCTCGCTCGCCTGGGCCGGGACCTGGGACGTGGCCCCGAGAGACGGGCGCAGCGGGCACTCGCGCCCGGCCCGGTGCCGCGTGACAGGCGTGGGCAGGACCCTGGTGCCGCGTGGATGCTCGCACCCTCTCCTCTGCGGCTGCGCTGAAGGCAGTGGCCAGACCCGCGGCCGCGTGGCATTGCCCTGGGCCACTGCACGGGCGCGCAGACGTGCGACGGCCTCCAGGGGACGGCCAGGCCCGCCGGGTCGGGGCTGGACGCCCGCAGGCTGCCGAGACTTTGCCCGGGCCAGGCAGGGGCTGGCAGAGGTGCAGAGAGGCGACATTGCTCCCCTTGGCCGCCGGGGAGAGGAGGGCGGCGGCTCTGATCCGAGCCAGATGCCGAGGCCGCAGCCCGTGCCCATCGCCCGGCGCCAGCCTGCGCAGCGCCCCGCGGTGCAGGGAGGGAGAGGAGCGGGGCCGGAGGAGGTGTGTGCGTGCGTGTGCGTGTCTGTGCCCCGTGTGTGGGTGTGTCCCGAGCTGGTGCTCTCACCGCGCCGGGTCTCACCCTTCGTGGCCCCGGGCGCCGCTCCGGGCGGAGAGGATGCCCTCGCGGGCAGCGTCGCGTTGCAGGCTGCTCTGCGGCGTGGCCGGCGAAAGCAGCAGCCTGGAGCCACCCTCGCGGGGCAGGAGGCGGCCGCGTCTGCGGGC